GCCGATTGTCTCCAACTATCTAACACCACGCTATCTACTACTGAAATCCAAAGACTAAATGGAATATATAATGAAATATTTTTTATCATTTAAGAATGCTTCTAGCATCTGGAAACTCTTTAATCAACTTAAATGCAAGAAACAAATTTCTATTGATGCCTATTCTGATGTGAAAGTCTTAAATCGATTTTTTTGAAGACAACAAGCTAATATTGTTTATTGTAGATGACAGAAAGATTGAGCAAAAGTAATGACAGTATCTCATTCCTAGACGTCTTCCTGGCATGGAAAGAAGATGGCACACTAAGGAGTGTGTATAGGAAATTTACAACAACAGGTCAGTACACTCATTTTTTTGAGTTTTGTACCTTTGAGATATAAACGTAACCTGGTAAAGTGTCTAGTTCACAGAGCTAGGTTAATCTGTTCAGACGACTACCTCAATGAGGAGCTTAAGATTATTAGAGAATTACTTAGAAAAATGGTTATTCGGGATAAGTTCATTGAGAAAAATATGAATTCAGTACCTAAGAGAGTCAGTATGGTGACAGTTCCGAAAAAAATCGATGTTCATAAAGCTGCAGTTCCTCGGTGACAACATCAGCGAAACAATAACACAACGACTGAAGAATGCAGTTAAAAGAGCTTATTATGCAGCAGAGAGAGGTACGTTTTCTCTTCACAACCACCCCTATTCTGTGTTCGAGAAATAAGGATAAACTACCTAAATTCGCCTCCTCTATGTGTATCTACCAGTTTGACTGCAGCTGTGGAGCCAGCCATATTGGGCGAACAATTAGGTAGGTTCATCATCGTATTTCCGAACACTATCCAGTATGGTTAAGCAAGTGACAAACAAGATTTATTCGTAGCTCTATTTTAGCACACCTTGTAGATATTGAGCATAAAGTTGATGTTAATTCAGCATTTAAAATTATCTATCGCATTCCGATTAATGTTAATTTTGCTCTACGAGTTCGCCTTCTACAGACAGCTGAAGCAATAGGAATCTACCTGAAGAAGCCAAACCTGTATGTTCAGAAGAAATTTGTGCAGCCACTTTCCTTGCCTTGGCCATCGTTACATGAATGTGTAAACCGGGCTACTTCGCCCCCCCTCCCCCTAAACCTGTAAGATTATAATTGTCCAAATTATATTTCTGACCACTTCATCTTTAATTACGTGTTATCCTTGTAAAATTAATTTATTCTAACCATTCCTACCTTTTAATTATGTGTATTGATTTTCTTCGTTAACTATCACCCCACTGACAAGTTGACACTGACTAATTACTGTTAACAAACATATCAGTGCCACTTGATTGGTAAATTATTGTGTATTGTGATAAAAATGCTATACGTGTATATTTGAGTAGAGCCAGAGATGAAGATCTAATTGAAAAATAAATATTTCTTCGCTCAATCTTTCTGTTTTCTAAATGTCTAAATGGGGATTTTTTTCTATATTGTAGATGATGTTTCTAGTCACGTAAATGATCATTTTCCAGGTCTTAATGAAAAGGGTATCTCAAATCCTTAAATCTATCATACAGACTAGGTCCCAAGCAGTTTGCCTCAAAAGCGTGCAGATATTTTGCGCTATCCTCTTACACAAATCTTTAATGCATCGTTTAACCGGGATACAATACCTGTTGCTTGAAAAGAGATAAAGGTTGTACCCGTAACAAAGTCATCTTCTGGATCAGGTCTAAAGTATAGCTCAATCGCCATCACGTCTTCATTTTTGAGGACTATGGAGGAATTCCTCATGCATGCTCCTATAACCTCTTTTAAAATCTCTTAATGACATAATATAGTTTGATTACAAATGCAATAGAAGCACACTAGATGCTGTTGAAGTACTCCATCACAATACTGTTTTAAGCCTTAATAAAGGTGCAAAGTTTGTTTGAGCCTTCTCTTGAGATTACCCTACTGCTTTTGACTCTATTCCTACGGTACTTCTATTAAGCAAACTGATTTCTGCACGCACTGAGTCCTCAGTTGACAACGTGGATGTCTTCCCACTTGTCTATAGCGTAGAAAACTACATACTATTTTAAATGGAAAGCGCTCCACTTTGTTGTCAACGGAAACTAGTGTGCTTTAAGGCGTTGTGTCTCTCCATTCTTTTTCTCTTTCTTTTTGCATGACCTTTCGGATTCTTTCAAAGTTAATTTCATTGAATATGCCGATGACCTAACTATTTCTGTTTCAGTAGTTCCGGCAGTGGATTGTTCTTGTCTGAGCTTAACCAATAGTCTTAAACTAAGTCCATCTAAATGTCATTATTGTTGATGCAAACAAGACAATGAGTGGACTGATTCACTCTCATGATTCTCTAGTAATATTGATGGCACTGTGATAGGGAGTAAATCGAATATCTCTTATCTCGACATCAGTTTCTCTTCGAATTTCTGTTGGTTGTCACATAGCCTGTTGATTTCTAAGGAAATTTTTTGTTTGACCTATTACATAAACACGTTGAGACTTTCTGCTGGCATAATTCACAACCTCTTCTCTTCCAATTTATCAATTCATGTATTCTCCTGATTCTTCTTTATTGTTCACCCCATTTATTCCTCCCTGGACTTCTCAAAAAAGACTATACCATATTACGTAGGACATTGAAGGCTGAAGGTAGGGCTAGTGGTGTGCCTTTGACTCAGCTGACTGATATTATTGTCAATAGGTAGGCACTTCAATTCCTGCAAGCATTTAGCTAAAGTTATCTTCTCTGACACTGAACATTCCTCTTCATTCTCAAATTTCTCCTTGTATCTCTTCGGATAAAACCAGAAGAAACTTCGTAAGAATTTATGCTCGTACAGCTCCTAAATATAAAAATTCAATTATACCATCGTATTCAGCAGGCGTTTCGTGTGAAGAGAGAGTCAGATGTCAGAAAGGAACTTATAAACTCTTTAAATCAGTAACTGAACTGCAAAGTATAACAATAATTATTATTATATATATTATTTATTTATTGTTCATTATATTCTACTAACTTTCGTTTCTTGTGGTCTTATTATTTTTACTATTTTATGCAACTACATACATCTATTATTTATTATTATTATTGCTCCCTTGGGTTCCTAATGGAACATAGGGCTTCAACTGCAAGTCTCCATTTGCTTCTGTCTTCTGCTGTACTTTTCACCTGCATCCATGTTAGTCCATATTCTTTCAACTCCTCTTCACACGATCTCCTCCATGTCACCCTTCCACTGACGTCCCACTCACCGCTTCCCTTCCGCCCTGATTCCATTCAAGCAATAGCCTGACGCGCGATTTCACCCAAAGGTCTCCTCAGCGAGTGTCCAATCCATCCATCTCCTGCATATTTGTTGGTTGGCGATTGGTCCTAGTTTTGTTTGTTTGTTCCCGGCCATAGTTTCTTGTTGGCGGTGATTCTTTCCGGCCCCGCCCGGCCATCTGATCTTCAGTATAGAGCGAAGACAGTTTTTAATAAAGGTCTGCAGCCTTTTGGAAATATTCTTTGTGACCCGCCAAGTTTCTGATCCGTATAGAAGAACTGACTTTACGTTTGTATTGAAAATCCGAATTTTTTTGGTGATGCTGAGTGACGAAGATTTCCAGATTGATTTCAGGTTGATACATCTATAAAAGGAGTTAAATTGTTGCAATATGCATAAAACGCTGAAAATTCCATTCTGTGTGATTATAATTATTGTTTGGAATAGAGTGATTATACTATTATTGATTGACATGAAGAGTTGAACACTGCTCACTTCATCCAGTAGTGCTTGCCAGCCAGCCAACCAGATCAGAGTAATGTAAGCTGTCTTTTTGGAGTCCACACGATAACAGCAACCTAAGATTTAGTTTAGGGAGGAGGGCGCACTTTGGGACCTACGGTTACATCCCATACTTATTGATATTTTTATTGGTTGGAGGATTTCATCATGAACTGACATCAGTTAGAGAACGATTGGAAAACCAAGTTACTGGGAGTACTGGACAGCCACCTGCTTCGTCAGCCTAGTTTGGGACTCCGCTTCAGCAGTACGCACCCACCCACCTCCAGGGTTCGAACCCAAGACCTTCTGGTTACAAGGCGAGAGATCTTGTAGACCATTAAGTCACTGGGACCCGATCCAATGGCCAGCCAGCCCATGAATTCTAACTTCTGCCAATTCAGGACATAGCGCGACCACTTCGCAATGTCTTCTTCGATGAATTACTACCTCACCTTCAACTTGCTGTACCCTAACGGTTACGACTTCCCGTGAAAACTCCAGGGTCAGTTGTTAGTGAGCATCAGATTAATTTTCAAGTATTAGTTTTGTAGGGAACCCCGGTGGGTGCGTACTTATGAAGAGGAGTCCCAAACTGATCCTCTAACTGATGTCAGCTCATGATGAAATCCTCCAATCAATCAAATAAAATCCCTACAAAAACCGATACTTGAAAATTAATGATATTTGTTGGTTCCGATGTGAAGTCTGTGTGTGTGTGTACGGATTTGGACAGCCAAACAGTAGATCTGTCTGCCGCATACAAGAATTTCGATGACAACTTGAACACATCAATGATTGGCAGTACACCTTTGATTACCCCATACAATTTGATGCGACTTTTCATCTTAACTGCAACACATCAAGATTTTCAAGTTAACACACATACTCTAGTGATTGATTTGACATGACTAGGTGAACACCGTTCACATCAGCAAGTTGTGCTTGTCAGTCAATCAGATCAAAGTGATTTAAACATCAGCGGACAGCTGTTTCCCTCGTTTGGCGGCGAACTCATCAGTGATGCAACTCATTAGTTCAACTCAGCTAGCTCAGAAAGCCAAATCAGTTTGTACGTTCAAAATTCTCGTCAGTTATTTGGATGGACTGGTGATATGTTAAATCGAATTCACAGTCTTCAATTTACACAGTATTCGAGCAGGTGATTAACATGGTTGCAGAGAAACTTAAGACACAATATCGAATAGTGTTTTCTGCGAAACTTATCAAAAATAAAACATTGCATGTAAATAACTCCAATATATACAAAAGAAGGTGAAGTTATATTTACAAAATTTGAAATCACTTAGTAAAATTTGCAAAAAAAGCATGTCAGTGTGCGTGTGTGTGTGTTTGTGCGTGCATATGTGAATACTATACAAGTTGCATACAAAAAAAAACATATCTGTACATTTTGAGTAAAAGATAAATTGGTTCCGTTGGAATAACGCGCAGGTGAACTCTCTACAAAAAGAAGCAGAAAAACGATTGTTTAGAATTTACTGCTACTATCACTACTAGTGATAGTGTGATGTGTGAGTTTACACAAATATAATTAGTGATAAGGAGGCTTGGTACACTGGTGCGCGCGTCAACAAAAGCATTTCTAACACGCTACTACTCCAAACTGTCATCAAAAACTACCGCCCCCGCCCTTCTCGCTCAATAATGACGAAGATCAGATGACTGGCGAGGAAAAGTCGGCTATGAAAACAGGACTCTGTAAATATCCATGGGTTTTTCCCTAACTGACATAAATAACTCTCTTATATAGGGCACACACTAGAGAAACCTGTTAATATACCTGATAACATAAATTCATCCGATCTATTCTACACAGTCCCATTGACTGTTAGGAGATTTTCAAGCACTGGTTAAACTTCCAAGCCCATAAAATACGCAGGAGGCTTTGCTACGACTTGACTTAGATTTTGTGCTAGTTGGCACTCATCAATCAGTAACGCGTATCTGCAACCTTGAAGGAACTCATGTCCCTTCGGAGATTCGAATCCACGTCACCCATTGCTGCAGTCACAGGCGTTAACACTGAGCTACCCGAGCTCGCGATTGACCTCCTGTAGGACTCTTTTCGAAGGAACATGAGTTCCTTCATGGCTGCACATACGCCTTGTGCTGACGAGTGCCAACCATCACGAAAGCTAGGTCCAAGGCTTCCTGTCCACTGCCTTCAACCATCTAATAACAAAAATCCTAGGGTACCATGATGGCGAATCACCTAGCACGGTGGCCACATTACAAACTTGACTGATAGAATTCAGTCTGCAGTAAACGAAGGACTAGACACATCACACTAGTTACTAGTGCCCAATTAAAAAGTACACCCATAATAGGTTGCAATATTTGACCAATAGCAAACCGATAACATTGGAAATGTGGATATCTCAGAAAAATCAACCAACTAAGACATCCTCTATTCGTTTCAGATTTTTTTTCTGACCATAACCTACTGGATTGGATTCCAGTGAACACAGTAAACTTTGTGGGCTCTGATTGACTGACTGAACAAACCAGTCAATGCTCTTCCCTACTCTCCCGTTATCCCATCTATTGACTACCGTTTAAATGAGTTTTATGAAAAACTGTCCGATTGCCATATAATCCAGTAACTCTACTGTTTTTTAAAAGAAAGTTAAACCAGTGAAGACGGCATACTAAGGCATCTGCAGACTACTGCAACAACAAAACGACACTGTTGACAATCTTTCACAATTTTTTCAGAGAATCCCCCTTTTCGTGAATATGTATATCATTAGCTTTGAACACAAAAACAAAAACATTTTTTCGTCTGACAACCGCCAATATCAATCCAATGGTCAACAAAGAGGAAAAAACTACTTTACTAAAATTTATCGATCGTGGTTGTTAAAATCGGAAGATGTTAAGCGGCTAGCTACCTTTGATTACACATCTTTGCGTTCTGTCTCCTACATTAGGTGGTATAAGTGTGCTCATTGATATTAGGGTTGTATCTGTAGAGTGTTCAGGGAAGAGGAAAAAAAACCAATCGATGGAATTGGTGTGGAGCTGCATCAACTGAGATGGCAAGGACGCATGCTATCCTCTCATCAAGTAATATTAGGTGATATGGGATTAGGTTACCAAAGAGTCAAACCAATGCAGTCGTTGACTACCGATTCGTCCAGCCACGTTGGAGATTGTAGACTGGGTAGCTGAGGTGCATAAAACACCAAGAGCCAGTGGCTTGAGATTGTTGGTGTGTGCTATATGGGTTGTGGTAACTCGAATTGCCGCGCTTTTGTGCGAAGTTCTACGTCAAAAAATAGCAGTCTTATTCAGCGGTGGAATGGAACGATGAATGACCGGTACATCTCATAGATCTGAGTAGTAAACTAACTAAAGGTCTTAGTAACGACAGCAATGGAGTAGGTAATTATTTGTACTTAAATGACAAGGGCTTGGAAACAAGAACATAGGCCATAGCGGTAGGTAGGTACGGTCTAGACGCGAACAAGAAACATCTTCCAATATGGTTATCGAATGGACAAATTAGACGGACCAATAGTACAATTGTTGAAAATCAATGTGTCTTACAAGTCACTTCATGTCAACAGAAAAATCTTTCCAAGTGATATTGCAAGGTAAGGTAAGGTTAGGTCGAGTTGTTCAAAGCATTTCTAGTCGCAACTACAGGATAAGTCAGGATGTACATCTACCTAACGTACCCCCTCTTTAAAGCGGGGGACAATATAGCTGACCTGCTGTTACAACCCTGTCTGTCAGCAGTACGAATACACCTTCGGATTCTCACAGCATAGTGTGGGTGATTATGAATGACGATAAGATGGTAAGCGCTGACAGTCTAACCACTATCCAAGCGACGAGGTAGGACCTGCCAGGACATTTGTTCTGGTCGCTGTAGCCCATTGGAATATGCGAGCACTACCAAAATGTAGTACCGCCTGTCAGCCAGGACAGTTCCACGTGGGCTTGATAACATATTAGTTTGTTTATTAGATGTATCACACAGTTCGAGAAACAGTATTATTTACTGGATGACAAGGTTTCGAACAAAATTTATTGTTCATAATCATTTCATCAATTGTAATCACACGACTTTGAAACTTGAGTTTTACAGTTTTCTTTGTTCTTTCCTATTTGTCGTCGTTGTGGGTAGTAGAATTTTCCAGATATCTGGGTGGACAGGTGTTAAATCATTCCTATTGCGCGTATTCTCCTCAGTTGATTCGATAAACAAAGCTTCTGTTGGGGGGGGGTGAACGTTTCAATCGCCATGTTTTCCCACCTATCCATGAATATATCTGCTATAACCGAGGATATTGGTGATCCCATGACAACTCCCTCAGTTTGTTTGTATATTTTCAGCTATAGCACTACATGCAGTTACACACAACCATACAATAGGATGGGATAGGATGACAGTTTTAAAGTCTAATGTAACAGCAGGGTGGAGGGAGAGATTGATAACAGAAGTTTTGTTTATCGAATCAACTGAGGAGAATACGCGCAATAGGAATGATTTAACACCTGTCCACCCAGATATCTGGAAAATTCTACTACCCACAACGACGACAAATAGGAAAGAACAAAGAAAATTATAAAACTCAAGTTTCAAAGTCGTTTGATTACAATTGATGAAATGATTATGAATAATAAATTTTGTTCGAAACCTTGTCATCCAGTAAATAATACTGTTTCGTCACTGTGTGATACATCTAATAAACAAACTAATATGGAATTACTTACTACCACAATGCCCAAGTTGTACACATACATTAATGTGCTTGATAATACTTTTTTTAAATAATAATGTTTTAGATATTATAAAGAGGAGGAGGAGCTTACTTGTTAAATTTTTATAACGTATCCTCATTATCCATGTCATCTATGTCTTCATTGAACACGACGCTGTGATAATCATCAATTGTTGATGGTGTTACCGTTGTTGTTCGATGTCCATGAACATTAGTAGTAGTAGTATTAGTACTACTACTATTATGGAAACCCATAAATGCACTATCATCGAGTAGCTCCCCGCCTCTATGGATAATATTATCTTCATCGTCATCATCGTCGTCGTCTTCATCTACTACCCCATCTAAATCATCTAAATCTGTACCAATCATGCCACCGAGACGATGCAATGATTCATTTAAACCTTCCATATTTGTAGAATTTAAATTAGACGAAGAATTTGCAACTAATTCAGCGACAACAGATGTCTGTAAATCCCCGTCATCATCATCATCATCGTTGTCGACGTTGTCAACATCATCCTCATCATTATCACCATTATTCAAATCGTCATTTTCATCACCAGAGTCCGATAAAAGGAGTTCTGCAGCTAGTTCATCTTTAAGGCTACCAAAATTATTATTATTATTATTAATACAGTCATTGTTATTATTATTAGATTCAGACAATGGAACATCAGTAGAGATATCATCAACAGTAGCAGGAGTTAGAGTAGACTTCCTCTTGTTGTATACATTCGTGGAAGAAGAAAAAGACGACTGACCCAACTATCAAGAGAAGAAAAGTAAGACAATAATAATAATAGTCATGATTTGCTTTATGTCAAGACAGTACTTATGATGCAGTGTAGAATTCTCGACATTTGGTACAATATTGCATCTGATTTACTCAACAACAGCAAAACAAAAAATATATATTTAAGGGTTGATTTGTTTTTCGTATTTGAACCATTGAAAACCAGGGAGTACTGGGCAGCTGTTGTACGCTAGTGACTTACTACAGGACGGAGTTTCCTGGAGTTCTAGTGAGGAGTTGTTGTGATCAGTAAGGTGCATCCAGTAGGGAGTAGGGATGGATTTCCTACCGATGACATTGGGGGCTGGTGGTTGCGTTAAAAATCATGAATTGGTAGAAATTAGAATTCATGGACTGGCTATTGAATCTGGTCCTAGCGGCTGAATGGTATACGAGCTTACCTTGAAACCGGAAATTCCTGGGTTCGAACTGTGTCGACGGGTGCCCAAACTAGGATGAAACAGCTGTCCATCAGTCCTCGGTTTTCAGTGGTTCTCTAAATTTATATTATTTCAGGGTGTAGGTAACAAAAATAGGATAATAGCAGATTTTTTGGTACTAGTAGTGACAATAAAGTCAAAAATGTACAAAAAGTGAAAATAATGATAGTAATAATGTTAATCGCAGAAGAGCTAATCAATCCTACAGTGAAGACATGACTTCAGGTGAACACCAAAGAGTTAGTAGTGTTGAAGATATCTAACCACCACCAACAACAACAAAAACAAAGTACCGATTACCATCACATTGGGAGAAATCTAAAGGAAGTCGGCCTATTTCACCTATCTAGGAAGCATCGTTTCAACTACAGGCCATGGTATGGGTAAAAATTTTAAAGGTAGGTTTGGGAAAACAAGACAGGAGGCTTTTGTTAATCTGAAATCGGTGTGATGATCTGAATCACTGAACACAAGGCACAAAATCCAAATATTTAACACTAACCTCAAGTCAATCAGTGCTCCCATATGCTTCAGAGACTTGGTGTACGCGTCATCAAAAGCAATCGTAACAGACTATTGCAGACTTTCATCAACAGTTGCCTTTTCTGTTTCAATACAGAAGATCAGATGGTTGATCAAAAAGGACAAATAAGCAACAAGGATCTCTGGTAGGCAGCGAATCAGCCAACAACTACCCATCACCCAACAAATATGCAGAATGAAATACAGAGGAATCGGAGATATGCTTAGGAGAACGTTAAGTGACATTATTTGGCAAGTGCAACTGATAAGATTTATCAATAGTATATAAGAGAGAGATTTCGACGTCAGAGAAAGCAAATGATACAGCTTAGCGGAGAAAGATGGGAGACGTGGAAGGAAAACAAAGAAAGTCAATATGAAGTCCAGAAGTACCACAACACAACGATCTATGGAAATGGTGCGTTGAAGATAAGGTATACATAATAATTTGGCTATATAGAGATACTAAGTTCTAAATAAACATTCCTTCACTAATTCTTCTGCAAATAAACATAGAGAAAACAGAGGTGATGAAGAGTCCTGGCCAACACCACCATCAACAACAACAGACAACAATCAGCATAAATGGGAGGAACCTGAAAGAAACGACCTCCTTTACCTACCTACCTAAGAAGCATCGTTTCAACTACAGCTGGACGGAACTGACGAGGATATCAAAGCTAGAATCGGAAAAGCAAGACAAGCTTTCATTACTCTTAAGTCTGTGTGGAGGTCAACAGCACTACTCAGCATCAAAAATAACATCCGGATTTTCAACTCCAATGTGAAGTCAGTGCTACTCCCTATATGGATCAGAGACTTGGTGCGTCATAAAGAGCATCTCAAACAAACTTCAGACCTTCATTAACAGTTGTCTTCGCTCAATACTCAAGGTCAGATGACTGGCCAGAAAAGATCAGCAACAGGGATCCTTGGCAATGAGTGAACCAACTCAGCAGGAACCGACTGTGAAACAAATAGGCAGGAAGAAATGGAGATGGATTGGCCATACTCTGAGGAAACCATCAAGTGACATCACTAGACAAGCCATTGCTCGAGTGGAACTCGACGGTATGGGAAGCGGCGAGTTGGTCGTCAGTGCAAGGGTGACTTGGAGGAGGTCATGTGAAGAGGAGATGAAAGCATGTGGGCAGACCTGGAGCCAGGTAAAAAACTTTAGCAGAGAACCGGACGCAATAGAGACGTTCAGTTGAAGCCCTATGTTCCTCTAGGAATTAAAGGAAATAATAATAATACCAATTCTTTGTCGTCTACTGTTTCAGTTATATGCCCCGCTTTTGGACGTCCGACGATGATATAGAGAAGATGATATAAAGAGGAAATGAAGGCATGTAGGGAGTTGTAGACCCAGTAGAAAGTGATAGCAGAAGATTTAGTAAGTAATTAATCTATAGAATTCAGTGACGTAGAGTAGATTCACATTTATTATATAATTTGCAGCGATAAAGGAAGATGCAAGGTTTAGAAGAGGAGTTAACTGACTGACTGGTTCATTGATTTAAGTAGTCACCTTTGAGTCAGTAGGTTCCAGGCTCAAATCCTAGTCTACCTGCATCAGTCTAAGCGAAAAGACAATAGCATCAATACGAAGACAATAAATGTGGCCTATAGACCGATATATACATGAAATATACATCCCAGATAACTGAGACCAACTCCATTATGGATAAGATTTTATTTTGATAAATCACACACAGTGTTGTACAATTATATTAACTGATGACGTTTCGAGCACAAACTATTGCTCATAATCATATCAATAGTTTGTGCTCGAAACGTCATCAGTTAATATAACTGTACAACACTATGTGTGATTTATCAAAATAAAATCTTATCCATAATGGAGTTATACTCTACCACAGTGCCCAAGTTTTATACTTATAACTGAAACCAACGTTAAAGTGCTATTGTTGAGCGGAAATCATCATTCAAGTAGTTCCTGAAAAGTAATTAACGTGAACAGATGTTTCCACTTTTGAATAACACGTACCTCACTCGCCCCTTCAGGCAGCATCAAGTTCAGGACAATAAGGTGACGCAGTAAGAACGTTACGATTTACCTAGTGAGTCACAATAAAAAGGTCTGTTGAATCGTAACTACCCTATATCATGAATTGTAAAAGATTAGAAACTAAAATCTGTTGAATTCTAAAACAATGACTGAGTGGTTGTGATAGACCTATTGTGATGCTCACTGACTCTGGACTCAACACCATTGAGAGCACTGATGCAGAATCACAACTACAAGAGAAACAGTCTTCAGATGTTCCTTAGCCTTCAACGCCTCTCTGGGGGAAGTAAAGTCTTCATGCCTTATCAACAAAATTTCCCAGCTAAGTTAACATGACAGTTGATAAACATTATGACCTTAAAAAAAAAAGAGAATCCTCAAATTACCTCTACTACACTTCCAGAATTTTGATTTTGTGTAGATGTTTGACTTTTACTCTTCTCGTTATTATCACCAGTCATCGATGATGACAACGGGTCATTATCATTTTCATTATCACTAGGATGACCACTGCTACCTGCGTGACGACCACCACGACGATCACCAGGATTACGACGATCACCGCCATGACTACTCCCACTACTATCATCACTATCACTAGATGAGCCAAGACTGCTGCTACTGATTTCACCAAATACATCACGGTGGTCGATGGCGTAAGCTCGAGTGCCTGAAATATATTGAAAAGTAAACGAAGAAAAATTATCATAAAAAGGTGTTAGGGACAGGAGAAGACGGATTATAAGTGAATGTTTCTATATGGCCCTTGAACCTGAGATCTGACTCCAGCATAGATTAAGATTCACGTTATCAGATCAGTGGTGATCAGTCGCATATTGTTATTATGTTGAAGTAAATAGTGGTTTCATTGAAAAAAGGAACTTTATATGAACATTCCGATCATAAACAGTTTGTGAAATGTTCGAATTACTTCCCACATCATTCGGGGATTGCTCAACTAGGTGGACAACATCAACCGTCAAAGCATTACTTAGTATACATGAATATGTAAAATAATCCTAGACACTAGAAGGTAAAATATTCCAGGAAATTTTCAAGTGTTGATTGTATGGAGCATTTGATCATTAGCTGACATCAGTTAGAGAACCACTGGAAAACCTGAGAGTACTGGACAGCTGTGTTTGTCCTAGCTTGGGACTCTTCATCAGTACGCAGGTCCTGGGTTCGAACCCCGGTGGGTGCGTACTCCTGAAGAGTCCCAAGCTAGGACGAAACAGCTGTCCAGTACTCCCGTGGTTCTCTAAGTGATATCAGCTAATGATGAAATCCTCTATACAATATTCCAGGAAAGTTTTGATGTCGTATGTACATTAACATTCAATCAGTGTATTAAATTCTAGTGCGATAGATAGCTGCTATATGTCTTGACGTTGTGGTCGAGCTCGCATATCCCAATGACCCAACGAGCTACATTGGCTGGGACTAATTTTCCTGGAGGTCCTATCATGCCAGAAAAGTCGTTTGGAAGGCTATTAGATTAAATGCAGCGAAAGTTATTTACACTAATGTTGGGAGATCTGACAGTGAAGTTGCACTGCTGGTGAATAAGACTGCAGCAGAAGTAAGGTGTTTTTCTCAGGTGACCAGCAAACCAGCTATGCTATCTTCCTACTCCGGGGGATAGGTATTTGGAAGACTGCCGACAGCAAGATCTCCACTGCGGACACAACTCCAATAACCACCTAAAACCATCTGTGTGTGTGACCGGTCTCCAGCAGTTGTCCCGCGGGTTTCGAGGTTATGCAACACGAATTCTCTTTGTGTTCCAGGGATTCCAAGAAGAAATCAACTTGCATGGTGTGAGCAGCTGGAAAGTGATAATCGTCTACACACGTACGCACTTCCGCTGACTAATCCTTTATTTTTTTTATTTACAGCTTGATTCCACACTGTATTTTCGGTACAAGTATGGAATTTTCAGCATGGATATCGGTAGCCCAAATTTCGCAGGCCGACCATAGATATCAGGCGTGAGTCGGCAGGGGATCGAACCTCGGACCATGTGCATGGTCGGCGAGAGTCCTAACCACTGTGCCACCGACGCACACATCCTGAATTCTCGTGGCTCATTCTGGTCAGTTCTGGTGAATTAACAATAATTATTCATCGCGATATGATTTCCAGATGAATGCTGACAAGATCTTTTGAGAAGGCATAATTATTTGCACAGACAATCAGTCAAGTCAGGTGTAAGGTTGGATGTAACAAGATGACCGAAGGGGATATGTACTATTGAATATTGTCAAAAAATTTGTAGTCTTTTTTCTTTATTTTCTACCTTCACAGTAAACTATCGTGCAGTACACATCATCTCCAAATGGACAATTGTATATTAATTCTGCGTCGAAGATAACGCAGTTAAGCAAACGCGAAATAAACTTTGAGATTTTGCGTCGATGCATTCAACAAAATTGTTCTGTCCAGTGCACCACCGAAAATGGTGGTGATCCCAGTGACAAAGTAGGCGGAAGGTTCTACTCTCAAAGCAGGAAGTGATCACCTGTTTGGAGGCAAGTAATTCAAGTTGTCAATGGGGTTTTGAAAAAAAGGCATATTCTGGTTTCTACTTACCATTTACCACTAATAAACAGTGTATACATGGAAAGTATTGAAGAATTAGATCTTTGTGTCATGGAAAATATATGCATACTTCAACCTCATGACTTCAAGCTTATGCGGAGTGGATCTTGTAAAATACGAATGACTCTTGAAATATTCTTTTAGTCCATACCAGCTTCTAATCAGATTTTTCAAAATGATCAACTTTCTAGATGATTAGAATTGAATTTCGACTCCAACTGCTCCCCTACCCCATCCTTATAATGCAAAGTACTGCTACCAAAAGGCTTGGCTTCAGTATTCGCCATTTTGAAGTGTTAGTTTGCAGAGATTCGATCGATTCCATGTTTGATCACTAATTGACCCTAGTTGGAGAACCACTGGAAACCATGGAATATTGGACAGCTGTTGTTTTTCTTCTAAGTTTGAGACTCTCCAGCAGTAAGTACTCATATCCCACACGGGATCGAACTCTAGAGACCTTCAGACTACGAGGTGAACCGATTAACTATTCACCCAGTAGGACGGAATCCAGTGGCCCATATCGACTGGTGAAATACGACGCACATACCTGCAAGCCAATGTCATCAGAAAGTAGTTGGCCTCATATCCAAAGTGGACCATGCCGGTCACAACATCTCATCACAGCGTCATAGTGTAGTCAGTGACGAGTGGGTATACATTCTAACTTCCGCTACCTGTTATTTTGTATAAATATTACAAACGCTTTAGGAAATTGTGTAAGGACATCAATAAAACAAGTATCAGATATATACTATCAACTAGTGACACACTACCCACTTTTATGTTAACTTAAATGTGGTATGTCAAGATACACCTGGATGATGAATGCCAGCAAGTGCGAAGCCTAGGTTCCATTTTCTTCAACCACTTATAATGGTAATAATATGTGATATCTTCATTGAGCTAATTAGATAGAGGGCCCAGAGACCACCTAATCTAAACATTATACTAGGATAGTATTAACCCATTCACACAAACTATGGTAAATAGTCACCTGAATAATGAGTGGTGCGTACAAACGCATACACACATACACACACAGCAAGAGTTCAAAAACATACAACTTACCATCCTCATCTTCATCCTCTATTTCATCATCAGCTGTTGGATGTTGATTGCCTAACTGGTCATTGGCATCACCAGATTCAGTGTTTAATGTATTCGATTTATTGCCTGCATTAGCTCGTGCTATCGGAGCTGGTGGATCAGTCCAGATTACTTCCCATCTAGATAAGATAGCAAGCAGAAAAGACATTTTGTATACATGCAGGAAGAAAAAAAGACTCTAACACCACGTTTATTTTAATATTACTGTAGGTTAGTTAATTAGCACTAATCACCATTAACAGGAGTGCGTCGGTGGCAGACACAGCGGTTAGGACGCTCACCAACCATACACATGATCCGGGGTTCGATACCCAGCTACTGGACGCAATCCTTTACCTCGCTAAGCCAGAAATGAAGCCGGTAAAGAGGAAAGGTTGAGCATGAGGTGGCTAGCAACCCTCCCCCTCCCATCCTGTAAAAATAGGCACCACTGCTACCGAAACTTCAAGTCTATAGCTTGAAGCCCTATGATCTACTGGGAACGTGAAGGAAGAAAAAAGAAAAAACCATCAATACGAGATTCACTTGCCTGGATAGCATAGTTTCAACTACAGGCACGCGACATGGATGAGGGATGTCAAAGGTAGACTTGGGAAGGTAAGACTAACTTCCCTTAGTTTGAAATTAGTGTGGATACAAAAATAAATGCAGATGGATTAGACACACACTGAGGAAACCGTTAAGTGATAATAAATTCTCGGCATTTCAGTGGGACCCGAAAGGGGAAACCACAAGTTGGGAGTGGATGTAAGGGTGATATTGAAGAGGTCATCTGAGTGGAGGAAATGAAAGCCTAAGGGCAGTTGTAGAGTACGTCAAAGACGAGTTCAGAGAACAGAGTAAAATGAAGATGAAATATTGAAGTTGTATGCCCCATTTGCAACCCAAGAAAATAATTAACTCTTCTGTGTATTTCACCACTGTAGATTTTGAAAGCTTCTGTGATGTCACAGTCAATAAGAGCAAACAAAGTACTGAAAATTGAAGTTCAGTGTGGCAATACTTCCAACCCTAAATTCTCCTACCGTACGTTCAAGAGTAATAAAATTGAAACTCGTGTGTGTCATGACAAGAAGGTAGACATCTGTTGATAGGTCATAATATTGATCCTAAACACGTAGATAGCTATTAAATCAGAGTGTTGGTGAAGCCAGTTATCAGTCTAATAGTTATCTTACATTCTACTAGGATTATGAGTTTTAGGCATTAGGTTAGAGTCTTATTGACTCACCCGAACAGATTAAACCACTCAGCATACTAGATCAACTGCAGACCTCTCAATCCTATTCATAACGGTGTCTACAAGCTTTTCAATCTCTCTGTATACAGAAAGGATTTGAATAAGTTGATTGACGTTATGCCTGTCAGATTTGGCAATTACCATGTGTATCCCACAAGAGAAATGTCTTCTTCTGATGAGTTCGTCTTCGTTTTCTTCAGACGTTTCAATGTCAATCTCCATCATGGTCAGATATACTGAAGTAATTGTCTCATGTATTGTGCTTAATGACACTTCTACACTCTGATTGTCAATCCTAGCTACATTGTTGACGCCCATAGTTTCTCATTGTTGAGAGAAAAACAATCGTCTTTTAAGGACGTCACATATTGACAGAAAACAGTGGTAAATTTCAGGATTTAGTGAATAACACAATTGCTACTCATCAGTGATCGAATGACTGCTCACACAAATCAGTAGATTAGGATGAAAAAGAAACTGCAGAGCGTTCAGAACTGAGTTCGGGTAACTAACACGAGGAGAACAACCTCTATGGATTCAGTGAAAATTTATCGGCATTCAAATGACGAGTATCACACACAAGGGAGACTCGAGATTATACACCTCAAAGCAAGCCAACACTTTATAAGTAGTATATGTTTCTTCACGAAAAAAGCTGTAGCAGTTAGGATCAGTCAGTTAGAGTCCAAACAAATGACAGTGAAACGTAAATCATCACGAGTTTGTCACTTGTGAAGAGTACAAGGAGAGGGTTACACTTTGTACTATTTGACGATTGTATCTACTCACTGACTTAAACATTCAGTTTAGAGAGAATGGGTTTAGGTTTGGAAGCCTGCAGCACACAATTCAGGCTGGTGAACTCGTCGTCATCATCGTGAGAATCAGCTTTCATGCAATGTGAGTAGCTCATAATCTGAGAAATCTGAATTGAGTGAGTCTGATAAAATCCCATCATTTAATTGTTCAATTATGAAGAGATCCCTTCATCCCAAAACAGATATGAAATGAAGGGTAGTCAAAAACTGTGAGGCGAATTACCACAGTAGTGTACATTATCCTGACTGTCTTCAATATCCTTATTTGTGCTGCAGCGTGTAGCTAAAACGATGTCGCCAAGATAAGTAAGTGAATGGGGTGAATTCTTTTAATTTCCCCCACTATTGGTGAACAGGTTTTGCTGTCGGTCATGTATATTTATCACCTACGTCTTCTCCATATTTACCTGATGTTCCGTACTTCCTTCTGCTTCTGCCAAGTTGTTGGTGTTCACTTGTAAATCTAGTGGGATCATAACTAATGTGACGAATAATTGTTTATGTAATTAGGGATTACATATGTAGAAATAATAAAATGATAAAATAGACAAGAAGTTCGGATGTGGCTAGTAAAAGGAGAACAAAAAGTGTACATAGTTCAGTGACAGAACATCTAGTCAATTCAGGACATTCAGTGCCATTCGAAAAATCCTTCAAAATAATGAACAAAATTCGATCAAATCTATCAAAGAGTGTAAAATTAAGACATTTGGGCACAACGAAAGCACTAGCCATCCAAAAGTTCAAACCCACGCTATGCATCGAAAAAAAATACGTCCAACCCTTGTTCCTACCATGGCTATCATAAACAGGTAATTCTTTTAATAGTGATTATCCCATTACCTTTCTTGTCCAAACTTCCTGTCTATTTTGTCATTTTATTGTTTCTATATATTTAATCCCTGCTTGCATAAACAATTATTCGTCACATTAGTTATGATCCCACTAGATTTTTTAATTCAACCATCCTGCCTAATTCCCAAATGCACAACCAATGTCAATCTTCTCAGTAATTATGATGCTACTTTGTTTGAGTTTTATCCGCCCCCCCCCACCTGTTTATTGTGGCATTTTAATTCCTAATTTTTATTTTTATTAATTTGCCCCTTAACCAGAAGTTATTCTGGAACATTCTCGCCAGTTTATTACAAATACACGAATGTACAGCCTAGTTGATGACTTCGTCGAAAAGAAAATTTTCTTTGTTGCAACTGTCTTTTTATTATTTGGCAATGGTGTCTACTCGTTGACTTAAGCACTCAATGTAGAAGGAATGAGTTTAGGGTTGGAATTCTGCACCACCTAATTCAGACTGAGTCTCATAAAATCCCATCACCGAGTTATACAATTAAACAGAGATTCCTTCATCACAAAGCAGATATGAAATGAAGAGTAGTTAAAAACTGCGTTTTAAAGTGCCATAGCAAGCAGTGTACTGTATCGAGCTTTATAAGGAATCGGTATTTAGACTGTTCACAGTCAAAACATTACCGTTTAACAACAGTTTTTAAAGGATGTTTAAAAATCCTTAGAGGAGTAGGTGACCTATAATGTATGCGTAGTTGTACAGTTAAATGTAGATGGCACTGATTACACTAAAAGATGGTCTGATTTTCGGGGTATACTATAAATAAATACAATACATTTTCAAGATGTACCAGTTTGAACTTAGAGACGATGTAATCTATGCTAATATCTAGAAAATATGATGGAGGGCTGGTACTGCTGTGGACTTCCGAAAAAACTAAAACGACATAACTGTCCATATCTCATTGACTCTGACAGTTATTTATGCCATGTTAACAAGTAGCGTTATTCACTGTTAACCTGACCTATACCTTATAGTCTACCGGAAACAGGGAATCCCAACTTGCTTGATGCATTTTGAGTCTGTTAATAAGCACTTAATAGTGAGTGCTAGGATCAGATCACTAATCTGGAATGCAAATGACAAGTATTTTATGTACTCGACACTATCCCTCCCCCACCCTGTAATGGAAACTATTGTTTGGAACGTGTAGAATACTGAGCCGACAAAATGATTTGGATGAACAGCGGTGAACTTCCATAAAACGATAAAGATGAGGCGCGCGCGCGCACACACACAAATAGAAACTTACTTTACACTAACTGCTTCTAAATCGGCCCGAAGTAATTGTTTCACTTCTTTTTCAATTTTAGGCATATCTACAAAACGCTTTCTACGTGTTTTACGAAATCGTCGGTGTAGAACATTTTTCAGCGGTGGAGTTATCCCATGAAGATATTGAAATTCACGATTTTCATGACTACAAAAAGCAACAAAGGAAAACAAGAAAGCATTATTGTGAGACAAGAACTACACGTGGAACAACTGCTACACCAATGTAGGCAGAAGGTTAAATGAATGTTAGATGATGGTCTGAAGAATTTCGCTGTGATTTTATAACACTTGAAGCGCTACCACTATTGGACATTTCTTTCAAATTTATATCACATAAAAAGCTCATTGATCACTTCGCTTACTTTATAATAATACTAGTACTGACTGGTGGATTCATGATATGCATATAAGACGTCGGTGGTTCAGCGGTAGAACGCTAGCCAACCACGTCTCATTTGGTCGACGGTTCGATTCTCGGCTGACGCACTCCTATATCACTCTAAGTCAGTATAGTCAGGCAGGTAAACAAGGAAGGTTGGGCATGAAGTTAGCCACCTCCCCCAGGAGAAGTAAAATCACTACTACCGAAACTTCAAAGCCCTATATTCCACTCAGGAAGAAAAGGAATGAAACTAAAAAATATGGACATTTTAGGTTCTCAGGGATTTTGGTTGACTTTAGTATAGATGTCGTCATGAATCGAGATCATTTGGAGAATTACTTCCCCTATAAAAGACCTAGTACGACAAAAGACAAAGACGACAAAAGATGGGTAGACTTTGATCTTCCTGCCAACATGCTCTCATGTGCCAGGTAAATTCTATTCACTGCCTTTACTCGGCAGGGTGTTCCTCACAAAATTGAATGGGCAAATGCAAATGTCTAACACCTACAACTGGAGTGATAAACATGCTAGTCAACCTAGGGGAGGTGGGAAACCCTGATTCTAAGCCTATGGTGTACACTGGCTCCAGAATGCGGAAGGATCAGACGGCATATGAACCTGTTTTAGCCACCGGAAACCATGAGAACACAGCTCCTGACGTTACTCCATTGCCCTGTGGATCAGACTTCAAGTCAAAAGCTCCAGAAGGAGGGTCAGTCACCTGCTTGGATCTGGGTATCAGGGCATTATCCTAAAGCTTGCTCAAAGTATGAAATCATGTATAGTGCATCTCTTTGTACCCGAAATGTGCAAAGTTTGTGTCGTAATAATAATAATAATAATAATAGAAAACCACTGGAACTCATGAATTAGTGGACAACTGCTTCGTCTTAGATGGTGTGCATCCCACCAAGGATCAAGCCCAGGACGTTCACGTGAAGAGGTGGGAATGCCACAACTGAGCTACTAGGTTGGTATCCATTGAACACTAAATTCTGACTTCTGTAAAACCAAGTGGATACGTGTAAGCTTCACAATCCAGTGTCCCCACAGCACTAAGTATCATTGATTGGGTGATCTTGATAAAAGAAATCTAAACCATTCACAATAGTGAAGATATATTCACTTGTTATCATCGCTCATATTCTCAAAACCTCTAATAGCCTTAATTAAATTTAACTGGATGTTTGTCCTTTGTAGTACCACTACACTTCTATTCTTTTCGATGTGTGACAACTTAAACTGATTAACACCTAAACAAATTTTGACGTTAAATTTGTCTCTTGCTTCCATCATTCCCACCTATTTCATGATAAAATTCACCCTGAATGGATGAATTTTTAAATCAGTCAGTCAGGTCCAAAGGAATGAAATATCACTTGTTTCAAGAAAGATAATTTACATGCACCTGGATTTCCAGGAATACTTAGCTTGTGATACCGTCAAGATAAGAACTTCACCATTTTTGAAAAGAACATTCTTCGCAGCAATGCTAAGAGTAGTGTTCTCCAGTCATTCATTGATCTGCAGAAGCCTTAAGGACAAGAGCTCGCATCTGGTCATATATCAGTTCACCTGTTGCTGTGGTGCCAGGTACATTAGTCGTTCAACGCATATATGGTTTTTCGATATCACTACTCTTTTTGCTTCACATTTCTGTTTACTGTTTCTATTTCTCATTTCTTTTTACTTTCTTCTCTGGCTTTGTATGCTTAGTGAAGTGTGGTGACTCGAAGTGCTGCACATCGGTGCAAAGTTCTATGTTGAAACCAGTCAGTTAAAAATCAGGAATATATATATATATATATATATACAGTTGCATAGTGAATAAATCAACTAACTGGAGATTGTAAAACATTTTTTGAACAAGAAACTCCATTATGATACTCACCCAATATCAAAAGTTTTATTACGTGAACCTGGACGATTGTCTAAATATGCAGCTGTACCACGAAGAGGACCAGTTTCATCTCCTTGAGTACATATCATCATTTGACAAATATCAGCTGTTTTATAAAAATTCTTTTTATCTGTTGTCTTTAACGATTCGATGATACACGGAAGATCCATAATCTGACCTTGATATACTTGCCCGTTATATCGAACAATTGTATGCCTCATATCTGGTTTAAATTCTATGGTAAAATTTTCCTAAGTTGAGAAAATGCATACCATCTTGCTTATTATTAGTGGAAATGCAATCCAATGAGAAAAAAAACCAGCATGAATACTCGTGTGACACTGAGATTTTTGGTGATATCAAAGGAAATCATTGTCAACGGCTCAGATGCACTCAATCGATTTGAGGTCTCAGATCCATTAGTTTCTTATTATTCCCTAAGTAATTATTTCTTTTCTCACTTATTTCTACTTACTATATTTTCTCTGTATTTCTTTTCTTTAAGTTTACATGTGCTTAATGGAATGTGACATCTTGAACTGAGTCATTTTAGTTTGAGGTTCTACGTTGAAAATTTAGTTCACTTAGTTAAGGAAATTTAGGGTCTGGAGATACCTCGTTGGAGAGGTTTAAACACAATTTATTGGAAATACTTAGATCTAATTGCAACACTCAGTATTCATAATTGAAAAACTTTACTTCAGGAGCACAAAGACGTGTCACTTCAAAACTCAACCTACTTTAATGCCTTCTTTCCAACCCAGAAGAAAAGGAGAGTCGATGAACACGTTATATATGCTTTAAAATGGTATAGAATAAACGACATAAGTCGCACCTTGACTATGGGGGTATTTCGTATTAACTTTATTATTACACCAATTTTTCAATAGGCGTGACTAATAAACTAAATTAGTGGCGTAGGAGATTGCGCAAAACGGCATCACTTCAATTTATCACACTTTTGAAAAGTACACAAAGAGAAAAGAATAATTGATATGAAGCTACAACAGGGGAAGACGTAAAGGGAAAGAGAAGTCAGATAAGGACCACAGAGGATTGGTAAAAATTAGCTCTGTAGATGCAGCAGTTTTTAACCACTCATTCTCAACACACAGATAACCGCAGCTTGACAGTCTGTACATCCATACTTGGCTTAGATCGACAGTAAGCACCTTCGTCAGTACGAACTTTAAATGTTCTCCAAGATAACCTCATTTCCGCAAACATCGCCCATGAATGTGTGGCGTACGTGGCAGTCACCTCAATCGAGGAATCCTCACAACTTCATCGTCCAACCTTTCCACCTTATATAACACCACTGAACTTTATTACTACTCACACTGTTTTCTCAGCCAACGTGGATTACTGATCGATAGTACCAGTTAAGACCTTAAGTCTTCCCATATCTTCAACTACCGAGTTCTGAAAACCCTTGCTATTCCATATTTTACGCTTCATTCCTCCCCGATATTGTCGTCTATTTTGGTCTTCTCAACAATTATGTGTATCAACCTGAAATGCAACGTTTTTGTGCAGTTCCGCATTGATAATTCAGTTCGAACTACTGAATTCGGTATTTTATTAACGGGCCAGTTGAACTAATGCCGCTTCTCTCGAAGACTAAACACTTAAAAACACCGAATATAGTAAATGCACTTTAATATATAACTAAAATAAAGTAACTAGTTTATTATCCTTAGTATATATTCATTAGAAACCAAAATAATGTCTTCTGTACAAACCTTGAAAGGTATTCCAGCCTCAATATCGGCTGCCAAATTTTGAGCGGCGAGAGTATCTGACATTCGCAGAATGAACTGCTGCTCCAAATCATAGTTAGAGTCTAACGGCAACTTCGCTGTCATCCTGAGAATGTAGCACTTGCCACAAATTGCGTGCGCTACTTTCAATATCCAATTTCGATTATGCATAAAGACCTGTGATTTTATATTAGTATTTTCTTGCATGTCCATTTGTTCGTAAGCTTCTTGAAAACTGTTTTAAAGCGAAGAAACTAATTCTTCGGGAGATAGTTTCATAATATGAAAAACAAGCACATGAGGTTTATAGTCCTAATATCCAATATATAATGTTTTCTGACGTCAAGGTTGAACCGTATGGTTTCTTGTTGCTCACTTCTCGATGTTCATGTACGATTCTCATTATTCTTCACCATACTGAGGTGTTTTCATCATGTGGAGGATATTTACTTCATTGCTATGAATAAAGATCTCATTATGTGCACAAATTTAAATAATTACGTCTAATTGAATTCGTGCAGCTAAGTGACCGAAATCGCGGAATACGGTCTCTTTGCTGAACTAATTGTTCTTATCTCCAAGTCTGAAGTTGCGCCTCAATCCTTGTCTCCTACCGACAACTAATTCTTTCGTCCAAATTATTATGATGCACATGTTTCCAACACCTTCAAGTTTTAGGATATATCTGGCATGGGACACTACGTCTAACACCCTCCAAAATTCTGTAGAGAAAACTGAGTCTGGTCGTCCCCAGATTTGGCTCTACCTTATCTTGCTATGAGATTCGAAAAAATATGAGTTTTCCCCTCAAATAATTTTCTAGGTGGACTATGGTTACAGGTATGCACACTAAAGGCTGTTATTCCTTCGTGAAACAGTGAATGAATTTCATGGAGTCCCGCTGATTCAGATGTATCAAGCGTGCTATGAATCTGAATATGATTTACTGTTCAGTGTCTACAAGACATGTCACTTTCTGGTGGAGCGACGAGAAGTAATGCTGCATGCTGTGGTGCTTTTTATGTGTCGTGCCATTGTTTCTGAATTATTCTGTCACTTCTTGGTTATTTTTGTAATCTCAGCCATTAATCGCGTTCTCCTAACAAGCGAAAATGATTCTTTGATGTATTCCCCTGCATTCTACAGTAGTTACCTTAGAAATCCTACAAAAGATTCACAGATTACTGGAGTATACTTATTTCCAGCCAAAGTATGCAGCCTACTAGGCCCTGAATATAAAACATATTCCGGCTTTTTCACTAATGACAGGATTTTATTCCCACAAGGGTGGTTCATGTGATATATGGTTGCACCACCCGAGCCTACATTTGCTTGAATTGACCTTCTGAAGCTTCCACATGAACCTAAGACCAACGGTTCGACTCCAAAAAAATACAACAGAGATAACTGCTTTTGTGTCTACCTTTCACAAGCCTCGTACAATAAGTGTTTTGACGGTGGACATTAAGTAACCGCAGGGACTAAAAATTTCACAGTGGTATTCTCTGGTAATGTGGTTCAAGGCACAATTTCTTTGTAAAGAGACTCTCCTGTACAATCAGGACTAGAAATGTCTGTCAACAAATATACATCTTTTCATTTGTATCATGTTATAAATTACAATCCTGAAGTATCAAAAATCAACACTTTTTCAGAAGTTTAAGTTGTTGGATTATTGTAGAAGCAATCAGAATAGATTCCTATAAATGTTATATTGTAAACCCTTCACTAAGGTTACAATCACAGTTGAGCGACAACTCAAACGTCGCTCCGTTGCCTGCTGATAGTTGTAGTCAACCACTGAACAGTGTATATTTGGGTAAGAGCCATGCCGCCGCGTGATTAAAAGCTATTTCAAGAAGAGAAAAGCTTCCTGGGGACACGCAAAATGGCATAAACTGACATCAATGGATAATACACCATTGGAAGTACATTTTAAAAAAGATATAAAAAATGAGCTGGAGACTCTTTGGAATGATAATATACACTTGAAATAATTAACGATAACACATCGGTCTAAGGATGGAAACTATAGCGCCATCGGTGAAAATGCAAACTTGTTCAAACACTAGTGATTTTTCAATGCGGTTGGAGACTGAACGATCAATTCATGGTTGTTTGGTCAAACCTAACTCCTTCATATTTTTTGCGGGAGTCATCCATCCATCAGTCATCGTCTCATCGCTCGCTGTTGAGTGGAAGATTGAAAACTATCAGAGGCATTATCGTGATTTATTGTTATAACATTTATTCTTGGACCTTCTGTAATAACATTATTGTTGGTTATATGTTGGTGTAAGAATAAAGGATTCTTGAGTCAACAAACAGTGTTTTTGTTTTCGCGTTGGCTAATACAAAGTGTTTTTGTTTTCGCGTTGGCTAATACAAAGTGTTTCTAAGAGTCTTCGAGGGACAGCGTGAGGTCCAGCGTAGTAAGAGCTGTACGTTGACAGTTTCTGGTAGATTCTGTTTCATCTTTCCTGGTGCCTGAAAGTCTTATTTCGTAAAGAGTCATTAGGAACTTTCTGGAATTTTTGGTCAATTTCAGTGATGCCTGGGTCAAAAAAGGGACACAGCGTCTTGGAAGCAAACAGGAAAGTAAGTAATGTTGACTTGTCTGGTACTTGTAACAATGTGTCTGATGTTAAGCATGACATGGTTGATGTTACTGTTTCGCCGTCTAGGGATGATAGGAATATCAAACTTGCTAAATTTGAACCACAGTGTTTCGAAGGAAACCCAGCTGACTATTAACAGTTTATGAAGGACTTGAGATCATGTTGAGTAGTTTTTTATTAAATGATGAAATAAGGTTAATTTCATTGGTGAGGTATTGCACTGGAATTGCTTCAAGAGCTATACAGTGCTGTAATTTGATGCACTCAAACGAAGGATACTCTGCGGCTATGAGTGTGGTGAGGGCAGGCTGCTAGCCGATTGGTTGACACTAATCTACGTTAATGTCTAGGTCACTAATATGGGCCGTGAGAAAATATGAACAAGGCTGTTTCAACAACCAATCACAGCAAACTTAAATGTGGACAAATATGATTCGCAGATAGATGGCTCTACTTTCCGAGAAATATCGAAAACAACCAATCATAAGACTGTGTTTGTCTGCTTAACTTCCGAGAAACAACCAATCAGAAGACTGCCTTTTTCTGCTTGCATAAGCCTTATTAATGTACATAAAATATATATAAATACGTGTTGATTTTCGTAATAAAACGATCTGTTGCCAGCCCTTGTCTTCTGTTGTTACATTTGGTGTCGCTGCCTCCAAAAAATGAAGATCCCGTGGCCAGCTGCGTTTGAAGAAGGAGACATACGGAGCTTCTTACGTGACTTCGAGGCCGTTGCTGAGCTGGTGGGTGTCAAGGAGCAGGCGGCGAAGGCAGTTGTCCTGGGGACGCTGTTGAGAGGCCGAGCGAAGGCTGCATATGACAGCGTAGACAGGTCAAATGGCACAGCGTCTTGGAAGAAATTGGTTGAACGACTAGTGTCCGAGTTTGACAGCGAAACAGACAGACAGCTAGCAATGCAGCAGTTCCGGTCAATGAAGCTTGGACCTGATGGAGACCCGCTAGTGTTGGCGGTGAAACTGACTAATCTACTTCGACGCGCGCTTCCCACTTTAGATGAAGAATCAGAAGCGCAGTTACTGTCTTCCCAATTCATCGAGAGTGTCCCAGACCACATTTCTCAGCGATTAAAACTGGTTAACGCAACGCAGCCGATGGATATTAGTGAGCTGGCGAAGGTGACCAGACAGCTGCTGAGCACAACGGTAGCCGCTATAGACCAACCAAAACCAAACGAATATGAGCAGAAAATTGAAGCATTGCAGCGGGAAGTGGCGGCGTTAAAGTTGGCTGATAGAAAAGACCGGTGTTTTGAATGCGGTAAGCCGGGACACTGGAGAAGATACTGCCCAGAAAGGCGAAAAAGAAAAAATTTCAGACGGTATAATGCTTGTTCTTTCTTTCGTATGAACCTAGATTTAGTGGGGGCTATTGAGAAAGGGGCTCTGTATTCGAAGTTGCGAGTGAATGATCGAGAAGTAGTATGTTTGATAGATACAGGGGCGGCCGTGTCGTTAATAGATAAGAATTTATGTAAGAGTGTTAGTCCGTGTTCATTGACAGTACAAACAGTAGGCGGGTATGTGTTGCGTATCACGGGTAGATCGAACTGTACGGTCGTTGTTGGTGGCTGCGAGGTGACGTTTCCTTTCATTGTTGTACCCGAACTACAGCGAACGATATTAGGAGCGGATTTTCTGCGTGAGATTGGTGCAATAATCGACACGCAAGCGAACGTGGTGGTCACGAAATACGGGCATATCAACATGTATGAGACCAGCGAGATAGCAGCGATTAAGCTGTCGACGGTACACAATGTGACAGAGTTAATTAATAAATACGATCATCTGTTCACTGGAGATGGGACCCATACGGTTATTGCGATAAGGTGAATCATGAAATTCCGTTAAGTGATCCGAAAGTAAGGTCATTTTTAACGCGAAGAGTTCCATGTCATCTGGAAGGCGAAGTGGAGCGACAAGTGCAAGAGATGTTAAAAGATGATATTATTGAGGAAGCTGATAGCCCGTACAACTCTCCAGTGCTGTTAGTAAAAAAAGCGAATGGGAAGTATAGATTCTGTGTTGATTTTCGACAGTTAAACAGTATGACAGAGTTAAGACCGTGTGCCATGCCAACAGTGGTAGAAACTTTAGATCGCCTACAAGGTGCGAATGTGTTTTCGGTTCTCGATCTTCGCTCAGGATACTGGCAGATACCGATAAAACAAGGTGATAGAGATAAGACGGCTTTCATCGTGGGTCAGACACAATATCGATTTAAACGCATGCCGTTTGGACTAGCAGGTGCACCGTTTACGTTCAGACGACTGATGAAGCTATTACTTAGGAACTTGAAAAACGTGGAGGTTTATGGTGATGATCTCGTCATATACAGTCAAAACGAAAACGATCACGTCAACCATGTAGAAGCCGTGCTGCGACGCATCGAAGAGTTTGGACTACGCGTCAACAAAACCAAGTCCCAGATAGCCAAAAAGAATGTTACTCTGTTGGGACATAAAGTGGGAAATGGTGAGATTAAACCACTGCCGGAGAAAATTTTGACGATTAAAACGATTCCAG